GCTTCCCCTTTAGATCAGAAGCAAAGCAAAGACGCCCACTTCTATTCCCGCCTCCTGGAGGTTCTAACCAAAGCAAATAGGTGAGAAAAAGAAATAAAAGGCATCCAGGTAGGAAGGAAAGTAAAACTATATCTATTTGCCCATCATATAACCCCCATATATAGAAAATCCTGAATAATCCATAAAAACTATTATAGGTCATAAATGAAGGTTGCAAGATACAGGATCAATATACAAAAATCTTATATTTCAATACAATGGCAATGAGAAAGATGAGAAAGAAATTGAGAACACAATTTCACTTACAATGGCATCATACAAAATAAAATGTATAGGAATAAATTTAAGAAAAGTACAAAGACCCAAATGTCAAAACATCTGGCCATCTAGCCAGGTAGTTGGTTAGAGTGTCATCCCAATATACCCAGGATTTCAGGTTTGATCCCCAATCGGGGCACATATAAGAATCAAACAATGAAAGCATAAATAAGTGAAACAAATCAATGTTGCTCTCTCTTATCTTTTTCCTCTATTAAAAATAAATAAATTTTAAAATTGACACCCCATGTTCATGGGTAATAACTACTCACCCAAAATGATCTACAAATTCAATGCAATTCCCATAAAATCAGCTGGTTTCTTTTCAGAAGTTGACAAGTTGATCCTAAAATTCCTATGGAAACTCAAGGGACCCAAAATAGCGAAAACAATCTTAACGAGTACAAAATTCGAGGATTCACACTTGCTTATTTCAAATGTTACTTGCAAAGCTAAAATAAAAGCAATGTGGTACTGGCATAAAGAGACATTTCTACCCAAAGAATATGCAAATGACCAATAACTAGCACAAGAAAAGATGCTCAACATCATTAGCCATCAAGAAATGCAAATCAGAACCACAATGAGCTACACCTCACACACAGTAGGATGGCTATTACCAAAAACACGTGTTGGACCCTAGGCGTCCTCCAGTGCACTGAGGTGTAGCCAGTTGGATTCCAGGTTAGGGTACTTGCCTGGGTTGTGGGCTTGATCCCCGGTGGGAGGCTTGCAGGAGGCGGGAGGCTAGCAGGGGGCAGGAGGGGTGCAGGGGGCGGGGGGTGAGCAGGAGGCAGGAGAGGTGAAGGGGGTGGGAGGGGTGCAGGAGGCGGGAGTTGAGCAGGAGGCAGGAGGGGTGAAGGGGGCGGGAGGGGTGCAGGAGGCGGGAGTTGAGCAGGAGGCAGGAGGGGTGAAGGGGGCGGGAGGAGTGCAGGGGGCGGGAAGCGTGCAGAGGGCGGGAGGAATGCAGGGGGCGGGAGGGGTGCAGGGGGCGGGAGGCAAGCAGGAGGCGGGAAGAGTGCAGGGGGCGGGTAGCGTGCAGAGGGCGGGAGGCGAGCAGGCAGGGGGAGGAGAGAGGGAGGCGGAAGGCGGGCCTGAGTCCGGAGGCGTGCAGGAGCGGGCAGGCGAGCGGCAGACGGGAGGCGTGCAGGAGACGGTATGCTAGCTGGAGGCCAGAGGCGTGCAGGATAGATGTCTCTCTCTCCCTGTCCCTTTCTCTCTCTCTAAGAAAGAAAAAAAAGAAAGAAAAGTCAATTAAAACTCATTTAACAACTTAATTAATTTAAAAACTTAAAAACCGTGCTGGGGAAGATGTGCAGAAACCAACCCTCTCACATTGTCGGTGGGAATGCAAAATGGTTAAAAGTTAAGCAGCTCCTCAGAAAAGTCAAACAGAATTGCCCCGGGATCCAGCAATTAATTCCATTTCTGGGTATACACCTAATAAACCTGAAAGTCTGAAGGAACGCAAACAGACATGTGTACAGCCACGGCAGGATTCACAATAGTCCAAAGATGGAAGCAACCCAAACAGCCATCAACAGATGAATGGATAACTATTATGTGGGAATATTACTCAGCTATAAAAAAAATAGTAGTAAAAAAGAAAATTAGTAGTAATGCATGCTCCAAGATGGCAAATGAATGAAGCCAGACACAAAGAGTCACATTTCGTATGGTTCTATTAATATATAAAACCACTTTTAAAAATCTGGAAAGGGCAAATCTACAAAGACAGAAAGTAAATTAGTGGGTGCCAGGCGCCGGGAAGTATGGGGGGGAAATGGGTACGGGGTTTCTTTTTAAGGTGACGAAAATGTTCTGGAATTAGACCGAGGTCATTAATTGCACAACTCTCTGAATAGACTAAAACCCTCTAATTTGTACACTTGAAGGATATGCGAATGCGCTCAATAAAGCTTTCATGTTGTTTTGTTTTTTAAGTGCCCGAGTCATCAGGCGAAAAAGGCCTGGAACCCAAGGCTAGGAGTCTCAAGTCTCCCTTAACCCGGGGGTCGGAGACCGCTAAATATCCAGGAAGAGGCTCCGGGAGCCCTTGCAGAGGAAATCACGTGACAAGCGATGTAGGTGGGCATGTGTATTTCTCTGGGCTTCAGTGTGTCTCAGGGGTGTCCCTTACTCTGGTGTAAGGTGCGGGGGTCACAGGCAGGTAGGGAGGAGGCAGGGATCCGTGCCACCGAAGCTGGGAGAACCCCAGTGTTTAGGAAGCACTGGGGCCAGAGGCAAGGGGTCCCAGAAGCTGGCTGGCCTTTGGGGACAAAAGCTTCCTTGCTTGAGAAGAGGCTCCGGGCAAAAGTTCTCCCTTCTCTGCCTGGGACTCCAGCCCCCAGAAACAGGCTCATCTGAGATAGCGAATGGCCTTCTCTGCTTTCCAGATTTTACCAATTCACTTCTCTCTTGTCTTCCCTGAACGTAAAGGATGCTTCCTGCCAAAACCGGTTTGTCTCAGTGAATAGAGCGTCAGCCTGCGGACTGAAAGGTCCTCGGTTCGATTCCAGTCAAGGGCATGTACCTTGCTTGCGGGCACATCCCCAGTAGGAGATGTGCAGGAGGCAGCTAATCAATGTTTCGTTCTCATAGATACTTCTAACTATCCCTCTCCCTTCTTCTCCGTAAAAAAATCAATAAAATATGTTTTTTAAAAAACGATGGTTCCTCTTTTACAACTCACCCAGCCCCCGCTTCTGTCCAAACTTTTGCAGGAGCTGTGAAAGGGATCAGCGTTCCCAGGAACTCATTTAAGGGGGACTGTAGCCCAGACCAGGAAACAGCATGGGTTGGGAGGGGTGCCAGCCTTTGCAGGACCCCCCTGCTGAAGGCCTACTTGCCCAGGACTTGGGGCTATCTCTCAGGGTGGAAAGCCTGGCCCGGGAATGGATTCAGACATGGAGACTCCTGAAGGCAGTCCCAGCCCAACCTGTGGCGCCTCCTCCGACCGCCCTGCGGACTGCACCCCCCAAAGGATTACCCCAGTGCCTCCCCAGCAAAGCCCAGGGCCCACCACTTCGGAACCGCTTGCCTTTTTTAAAAAAAATTTATTTTTATTGAATTGATTGGGGTGACATTGGTTCGCAAAACCATCCAGTTTCAAGTGTACAACTCTAAAACATCCTCTGCACACTGCGTAGTGCATCGCCCCCAGCAAAGTCGCTAGGGAACCGCTTGCCTTTTAATGAAATGATTCCAAGAAAGGAAGCAGCGAGGATGGGATTCCTGGGCACCCCACCTCCCTCGGATAGCCCAGGTGTCGGTCACTGGGAATCCATAGGAGCGCCTCTAAGTCCCAGCCTGGGTCGCTCCCGAACCCCATCCCAGGAGGGAAGATAGCAAGGACCGGGATTGGGGGTGTAGGGAGCGTGAAAAGCGGGGGGCTCGTGCCCCGCCCCCAGACCTGCGGGGAGAGAGCGGAGGAGTGCCTCCAGGCTAGGGCAAGACTGCCCTCCTGCCCGCCCGCCTGCCCCCCTTCACGGGGGCGAGAAGAACTGGGCTCCCAGACCAAACTGCACTGATTCTCCCCCACTTCCCGCGGCCCCACTGATACCTGCAGGGGTCCCCCCTATTCTCCTAAGGAAACCCCATTTCCCCCAGCCACCTCTCCTGCCTGCACCGATTCCCCAGTCCTGACCAACCAACAGGAAGTTGAAGAGCATCTGTCTGTGTCGGTTTGCCCCTGGGTCTCCACTCCCTCTGACCTTGAACTCACTGCACTTAGTCCTGGGGGGCGTCTCAGGCCACGCCACCTGGGACATTCCTCTGGACGGCTCTCAGGGCGCACACAGAAAGTACACACACGCGGGGGCCGCGGGGGCCCCCACGCACACAGAGATGGGGCACAGGCACTCACTCACGAAAGAACGCCACGCACAGGCAGGGAAGCCCGCTCCCAGCCCCGGAGCTGAGGTCCGGGCCGGAGCGCGCAGCTCGGTGTCTTCCTCCCGTTCACACCCCTCGAGGCAGAGAGAGAGAGAGAGAGAGAGAGAGAGAGAGAGAGAGAGAGAGAGAGAGAGAAGGCTGGGCATTCTGGAAGCACCCAAGGTCTGGGAGCCCACCGTGTGGGCAGGGCCGGAGCGCAGAGTGGGTGTTGGGTAGGCATCCCCGACGGGGCCAAGCATCCGGGGGGCCCCGGGTTGCCAGCGCGCTCCTGGGCCCCTGTCCCGGAGAGACCTGGATTTGGAGATCCTCCGTCGCGGGCGCCAACCTCCCTATCCTGCTCTGGGTCCAGCCCGCCAGCGTGCGCCGGGTATAGGAGCTCGTTGCTATGCAACCTCTACCCAGCTCAGGCGCCCTCAGCATCGTGCCTCCCGGCTCCCAAACGCACCGGGATCGGACCGAGCCCAACTTCCCGACCCGGTCCGACCTGAACCCAGTGTTCGCGTCCCAATCTGCAACCAGAGCCCAAAGGATGCGCCCCGCGCCCCCTCCCCACGCAGCTCCCCCCACCCCCGCCACCACCCGTCTATGACTGGCTCCCGTGAGCGCCAACACCCAGCAGATGCAGGAATTGAGGGCGAGGATGGCTCCCTACCTCTCCCTCCAGAACCCTCCGGCCCTCCCTCCCACATCTGCCCGGGACCCGGCTCCCCCAGGCCGCCCCCCCCCGGGCGGGCTTCTCCCCCAGGTGGCGCCCACGCCTCCCCCCCCCAGAGGCCCAGCCACCCTACCTGAAGCATTACTTTGTACTGCTCCTCCGGTTTCTGGACCACGCACATATTGCATCCCATGGTGCTGGCGGGCGAGGGAGAGGGCAGAGCGGGGTAAACGCCTTTCACTGGCCCTCGCGCGGGACCTCGGGTCCCGGGCCGGGGCCGGGAGCCATACCCTGGAGCTGGGGGCGGGCCGCCTAGCGGGGGAGGGGGGCACGCCCCCGAGGGGGGGGCAGCTCCACGCCCCTCGGGTTAACTCTTGCTTGGCTGAGGCCAGGGGCCAGCATGCTCCCCCGCACCCGACCAGGGGGAAAAAAGGGAAGCGGGGGGATGGGCGGGCGCGCCGGGCGTTGCTTGGCTACAGCCCCCCAGGAGGCGCGGGGGCGCGCCGGGCCGCCGGGGGCGTCAGGGGCCGTGGGCCACGCGCCTCCCCGCCCGCGGGGCCCGCCGCTGCCGCTGCCGCTGCCTCCTCCGGCTCCCGCCCATGGCCGCCGGCCCCGGGAGCCCGGCCCTCGCGCTCGGCGCCGCGGCCCGGCCCGCCGACGGGGGGGTGGGGGTGGCGGCGCGGCAGCGACCCCCGCTCGCGGCCAGACCCGCGCCCCAGCTCCCGCCTCGCCCGGCCCCGCTCCCCGCGCTCCCGGAGCCCGATCTCCGGCCCCCGGCCGGCCCGCTATCTGCAGCTCCCGCCCGAGACCACGGGCACGCGCGCGCGGCTGCGGCGGGGGAGGGGGAGGGGCGCGGGGACGGGGCGCACGCGCGCGGGGGAGGGGATCGGGGCCGGGGGGGGGGGAGCGCGGGCTGCGGGAGGTCGGGGAGCTGGCGCGGGAAGCCGGGGGCGGGGCCTGGATGCGAACCTCCAAGGGGGACGACCCCTGGCTCCCTGCCAGGCCAGGCGTCGGGTCCCGGGGTGCCCAGCCCTGGACATGCCGCCTGGGAGACCGGGATCCTGTTTGGAGAAACGCCCCCCTGGGGTCTCAGAGAGAGCTCAGGGCCTCCGAGGGGGATGCGATTTCACCTCCTTTGCCCGGTCCTTCAGGGCAGCCCGAATGCCTCTACCCCTCCCTCCTTTTCCCCGTGAATGAGGGCCTCTCTCGTTCCACTCGGCCTTTCGTTCGCTGTTGTTGAAACGGACACCTTTGTTTTTGTGTGTTTCTTTTAAGAATAAAAAGGAGAAAGGCTTGAGATGGCGTGGATCCTGGTGAGAGCATGCCAAGCCTCTTGGGCTGCCCCAAGCCCTCGCGTGAGCACAGGTCCGCCTGGGTCTGCTGCCTGCCTCCCTACCTGTGTCTCTATTCCCCCCGCTCACGCTCAGGCACAGAGCTTTGCCATTCCCTCCATCTCTCCCTCTTCTCTCCCACAGCCTGTCCTTTCTTCTCGGACAAGCCTAGAGAGAGAGAAGGCCTTTGCCTGGAAAACAATCTCTAAGGTGCCGGGCAGAGCTGCTGAGCTCAAGCTCCCTGGCTTGCACGCCTTGTTTCCAGGCTTTGGCAAGTGACAAAATCATGAACCACTCGGGGCCCTTTAATTACACTCCCACGGAGTGGAAAGGACCTTCCAAAGCCCTTTCCTCCCCGGCTCCTGATTTATAGGACTCCGGAGAAAGGATGTGAGTGTCCCCAGAAGCAGACCTTGAGACAAGGTCTGGTGGGCAGATTGTTTGTGTTGGAAAGTGAGCTGGGGGTGAGAGCCAGGGTGCCCTCTCACGTTGGCGGGCACTGGGAGCTGCTGGCACTTGACTTTGCTAGGAGCTGGACAGAGTGCATCTCAGAACTGTCTGTCCCAGACCTGAAGAGGGGACTCTCTAACCTGATGGCTTAAAACCGCAGAAATGTATTCTGTTACAGTTCTGGAGGCTCCACCACCAAAATGAAGGTGTTGGCAGGGCCATGCTCCCTCTTAGGGCTCTGAGTGTCCTTCTTTGTCTCTCCTAGCTTCTTGGGGGCGCCCAGAAATCTTTATTGTTCCTTGGCTTTGGCTGCATCGCTCTGCTTTTTTTTAATGTATATTTTATTAATTTTTTAAATATATTTTATTGATTTTATACAGAGAGGAAGGGGGAGAGAGAGTTAGAAACATCGATGAGAGAGAGTCATCGATCAGCTGCCTCTTGCACACCCCTCACTAGGGATATGCCCGCAACCAAGGTACATGCCCTTGACCGGAATCGAACCCGGGACCTTTCAGTCCCCAAGCCGACGCTCTATCCATTGAGCCAAACCGGTCCTGGCTAATTTTTTTTTTTTTTTTACAGAGAGGAAGGGAGAGGGAAAGAGAGTTAGAAACATCGATGATAGAGAAAAATCAATCAGCTGCCTCCTGCACACCTGCCCGCAACCAAGGTACATACCCTTGACCGAAATCAAACCTGGGATCTTTTAGTCCACAGGCCTACGCTCTATCCACTGAGCCAAACCGGTCAGGGAACTCTGTTTTAAATATATATATTTTTATTGAGAGGAAGGGAGAGAGAGAGATAGAAACATCAATGATGAGAGAGGATTATCCATGACCTGCCTCCTGAAAGCCCCTTACTGAGGATCAAGCCTGCGGCCTGGGCATGTGCCCTGACCTGGAATCTAACTGTGACCTCCTGGTTCATAGGTCAACGCTCAACCACTGAGCCACACCAGCAGGGCCATCACTCTATTTTTCACCTCGGTCTTTACACGACCGCTTCCCTGAGTGGGACTGTAGTGAGGCTATAGTGAGATGCCCATCCATGAATCAGATCTGAGTGTTTCCCCCTCATCAATCAGTCATAGGGAACCTCCTGCTATGAGTCTACAGCTGTGAGCTGAGGGGGTGGGGGGGTACCATTGTGATAGAGGCAAGGGATCTGGGGTCTAGACTACCTGTCCATATACCTGACTTGAGCATCTGGCCCCAGTTGGACATGGCTCTGAAGGTGCCATCTCCACTGGATTGCTGCTCTGCCTGCTTGGCCACAACTCCGTGGGTCTGCTGGTACTCAGCTCATGTGAGGCAGCTCCAGTCACTAGGCACCTGATGGCCTATGGTCAGGCTCTAAGTCTGTACCATAGCCCAGAAATATGATAGCAGCTGCATTCTTTTTCTTATTTTTTTTAAATATATTTCATTGGGCCAAAACCGGTTTGGCTCAGTGGTAGAGCGTCAGTCTGCTGACTGAAAGGTCCCAGGTTCGATTCCGGTCAAGGGCATGTACATTGGTTGCGGGCACATCCCCGGTAGGGGGTGTGCAAGAGGCAGCTGATCGATGATTCTCTCTCATCGATGTTTCTGACTCTCTGTCTCTCTCTCCTCCTCTCTTCCTCTCTGTAAGAAATCAATAAAATATATATATAAAAATAAAAAATTAAAATATATATAAATAGCCGAAGCCGGTTTGGCTCAGTGGATAGAGCGTCGGCTTGGGGACTGAGGGGTCCCGGGTTCGATTCCGGTCAAGGGCATGTACCTTGGTTGCGGGCACATCCCCGGTAGGGGGTGTGCAAGAGGCAGCTGATCGATGATTCTCTCTCATCGATGTTTCTGACTCTCTGTCTCTCTCTCTTTCTCTCTGTACAAAATCAATAAAATATATATAAAAAAATAAAATAAAATAAAATATATATAAATATATTAATATTTCATTGATTTTTTACAGAGGAAAGGAGAAGAATAGAGAGCTAGAAACATCGGTGAGAGAAACATCAATCAGCTGCCTCCTGCACACCCCGTACTGGGGTTGTGCCCACAACCAAAATACATGCCCTTGACCGGAATGGAACCTGGGACCTTTCAGTCTGCAAGCCGATGCACTATCCACTGAGCCAAACCGGTTAGGGCAGCAGGTGTATTCTGGGTGGTGAGTAGCTCTGCCACAGAAGAAATGACCTTGCTCCCAACCTTTATAAGTCAGTGCTGAGATCCTTCTACTGAGGCTTTCCGCAGACTGCACAGCACAGTGTCTACCATGGACAGACCCCTCTATTGCACCCTTGGTTGGTTGTGGTTGCATCATGGCTCTAGCAGCAAAGCAACTTGCACTGCAGCCCAGGCTGTAATAGGTCATATCTGTGTGTCCCAAGACCTGTTTGATCAGACATTCCACCAGTTTGGTGATCTATCCAAATAAATCTATTTTCTTGCTTTTTTCTTCCTTCAACCAGAAAATCCTACTCAATATGAAGACCTCTGAGAGTGTAGGAAGGAAGGAACTCAGAAACAGTTGATCCAGGGGCAGCTACTTGGAGGAAGAGGGTGGAGGGACATCCCAGCATGGCAAGAGGGTGGCAGGTGTGGTGGGCAGCCTGTCTGAAGCCGAACGAAGTCTTCAAGAGTGGCCCAACTGATGTGGCTCAGTGGTTGAGTGTCAACCTATGAACCAGGAGGTTCCGGTTCGAATCCTCAATCAGGCACATGCCCAGGTTATAGGCTCGATCCCCTGTGGGGGGCATGCAGGAGGCAGCTGATCAATTATTCTCTCTCATCATTGATGTTTTTATCCCTTATCCCTTTCTCCCTCTCCTTTGCTCTCTAAAATCAATAATATTTTTTTTAGTTTTCACCCGAGGATATTTTTCCATTGATTTTTAGAGAGAGGGAAAGAGAGAAACACCAACGTGAGAGAAGCAATTGATTGGTTGCCTCTTACATGCGCCCTGACGAGGGTACGGGCCAGGAGGAGCCAGCAACCCAACAGAGGTACATGCCCTTGACCAGATTCGAACCCAAGACCTTTTGTTCCACAGGCCGATGTTCTATCCACTGAGCCAAACCATCTAGGGCAAAAATATTTTATTTTTTTTTTAAAGAGAGAGAGAGAGAGAGAGACAAACATGGTGAGGGCTGTCACCACTATGGTCCTTGTGACCATTGTAGCATTCTTTAATATGAAGCCCAAATGCCAAGGTGAGCCTGGCCCGGGATCTTCTAAACTGGTCCTGTTATGATGCCCTGATGCTTGGATCTGCTGATGGCATTAGGTTACCTCACAGAATAGTTCTACTGCAACCCACTCCTCATTGCGGCCCTCATTCCATTGGACGTGAGGTCTCTGGTCCATTCTAGCCCTGCCAGATTCGGGAGTGGGGAGCCCTGCTTCTCAGTACTTGATC